TCCTCTTTGTGGCATTAAAGCCCTCACAACCTGGTTTCAGCCTACTTTCCAGTTTGTTAGACCTTATCGTCCTTCATATTTCTACACAACAGCCAAGCTGGCCCCCTTGCCGTTCCCTCTCTGATCATTGCACTTCTGACCAGTCTGTCTTCTAGACATAGAGTATAGTTCTGACTCACTTCCACTTCTTAAACTACTTAGTTTCTTTCAGAGTTATGCCAAATGTCACCTCCTACATGAGACCTTTCCTGATCCCTCCACAGCTGCTAGCGCCTTTCTCTGCCATTTGTTTGTCTTGTAGATAGCTTCTATTTTCTTACGAAGCATCTGTACATTTTGTACGCCTCACTTACATCTAAGTTATTTGGAGGCAAGAAATAATTGCATTTTTACCTTTGTATCCCCAGTGCCTAACATAGTAGTTGGCATATCCTAGGCATTTCTTAAATGTTTTTTGTTTGAGGTTTTCTGGCTCATCACTGTCAATTACTAGATGAGAAAACTAAGGCCAAGAGAGATTACGTGACTTGCCCATGATCAAATGGCATAGTTATACAGGATCCAAACATCCTAAGCACCTTTTGCTATACTGCAGTGCTATCTCCTTTTAGAAGAAAAACCTTAATTAATAAATCACGTAGAAGACTGTTACTTCTACATATTTAGTTAGTCTTTTCTTTTTGAAATCCATTTTTATAGACTAAATCATTTGATAGCAGCTAATTTTTTCCTTTGACATTCTAATTAAAACTCACTGTTGGCTCATTCTTCAATTAAATATGAAAGATAGAGAAATTGATGCAGTAGGGTTAATTCTTACAGATTTGGGAAATTCTTGCTCTGACTGGCAGGCTGTGTTTCTAGACAGTAATAATTTGCCCCTGTTCTGGAATTCCACACTCTTCTTGCTTCCTTTCATTACATTAGCCAAGGTTCCTTGAGATGAGACATTTGCAGTCTTAAGACTTCCTGCCGGGGATTCAGACTTTGTATTTCTGACATTGAAGCTGTCGTGTTCCTGAAGCTACTTAATTAGAAGCATATTCGTTACACAGTATGTTGGGGAGAGCTTGGACAGCAGAGCCCAATCATACAAGGAAGTTTGAGCATTTGTACAACTGGCATCTTAAACTAATGGTTTATGCTTTAAGAGGAAAAAATAAAATACATCATCAGACAGTGGCTTGCCCCTGGAAGGCCTCCATTAGAGAAGAAGTTGAATGTGTACAGAAAAAAAAAGTTAGATACCTTATTTTCTTCATTAAAAGTTTTAAAAACATAAATAAAAAAATTCAGTTTCATTATAGTATACGACTCTTTTCTATTGCTCTGAGGGAAAAAACCTAAAGCATTCTGGGAGAATGATTCCCAATCAGAGGAGTTTTCATAAGGGCCCTGTTTCCATTGTCTTGAAATACTGTTGTAGAAATTTGTAGACTTTGCCTGAAAAGGGTATTTTATACTCTGAATGGGACTTTTTTGGTTGTGACATTTAATTTATTATTTAAGGGGTTCAGGTTGTATTTTTTCTGGTAAAGGTTTGTTTGTTATCTTTGTGCAGCTGCAAATTGATGCTGTAACAAGTCCCATTTTTTGCAGTTCTTTACAGTTTACAGAATTCTTTCCTCCCAGTTTTATAGAAGAAGAGATTAAGGCTCAGAATAATAATAATGACTCCCATTCTGTAATATTTTATAAACCATGAACCGATTCTCTTGCCACACCCCCTGTGGAGGAGGTGGAACAAAGAATATTCTTTTTCCATTTTATAAATGAGGAAACTGAGGCTGAGATTAACAATAATAGTTCCCATTTTAATAAAGCTTTACAGCTTAAGTACCTTCCTCACAACATTCCTGTGAGGTGGGTAGTATGAGCATTATTATTTTCAGTTTACAGTTAGGTAGACTGAAAATAATTGAAGTGACTTGTGGGAAACCAGGCTCCATTTCAGTGCCCATTTGGTTACATTACAGTTGCCTCTTCATGGAAGGTTAACATCTAGTTAAGTATTCAGTGTCCCTATGATGGTAATGTAGAATAAACACCCAGTTTGTTGTGATTGAAAGCCATCATGTCCCATCCTCACAGGTGTTTGTGGTTATTGCTTTCAAGCAGTGGTTGCCCCTTTTTGAAATCTTATTGAGAAAAGCATAAATTTGACATAGATCAAATTCTAGAGAGAGATTGTCTCTGGAAATGGGTTAAGAAAAACTTTGGCAGTAAATCCCCATGCTTTCCTCTCTTCTGCCAGCTTGAGATTCAAATCCCAGTTCTTTTATTCTCTGTATGATCTTGGGCTAGTAACTTCTCTAAGAAAGGAATTTAAATTCTCTGGAGCTCAATTTCTCCATCTAAAAACAATAAGGTTGGACTTGATGTTCAGGCTTTCTAACTTTCAATACTCTAACTTTGTTTTATGTTCTAAGATCCCTTCCAGACTCTCCTGTTCTTTGTACCAGTATTCTATATGATAATGTACCTTCCAGCCATAACAGTTAATGTTTTAACGTTTCTTTTGTGCTCTGTCTGTGTTCTAACATTCTATTCATTTCAACGATTGATCAAACATTTATTAAGTGCTTCTTGTGTCCAGCAATTCCTTCCAGCAATGACATTCTATGATTCTATGAACCCAGAAGATAAACCATGGTGGGAGCTCTTACCTGGGCTGTTGAATGAGTATGTTCACCTGGATGCAACTCTCCAGACAATGCTTAGCTTCAAATGGACAGTGAGCGTTCAGTATTCACCAATTCAACACACATTTACTGAACACCTAACGTACCAGACAGTATGGCACATATTTGCACTATGAGTACAAGATGAAAACAACTCAGTCTGTGCCTTTAGGGAGCATGCAGTCAGTCAGTTAAGCATCTGTTATGTGCCAGGCACTGTGCAAAGAGCTAGGGATACAAAAGAGGCAAAAGCCAGTCCCTGCCCTCAAGGAGCTTACAATATAATGGGGGAGACAGCATGGAAACAAATAGAGACAAGGCAATCTATCTTTTCCTTTCTTATCCTACAGATAAATAGGAAAGGCATACAATCAATAAGGGTTGAGAAAGGCTTCCAATAAAAGATGGGATTTTAGTTGGGACTTAAAGGAAGCCAGGGAAGTCAGTAGTCAGAGTGGAGGAAGAAGAATGTTCTAGACATTGGGGACAGCCAGAGAAAATGCCAGGAGCTGAGAGATGGAATGTCCTGTTAATGGAACAGCTAAGAGGCTGATGTCATTGAAATGGGGGTGGAGGGTTAGGAATGGTATAAGACTGGAAAGTTAGGACTTTGGCTAGGTTATGAAGGGCTTTGAATGCCAAATAGAACATTTTTTATTTGATCCTAGGGGCAATAAGCCAGTGGAGTTTTTTGAGTTGGAGGTTGGAGTGACATGAGTGGACTTACACTTTGGGAAAATCATTTTAGTGACTGAATGGAGGATGGATAGGATCGGGGAAATCCTTGAGGCGGGCTGACCCACTAGCAATCTATTGCAGCAGTTCAGGTGTAAGGTGATGAACGCCTACATTAGAGTGGTGACATATTAGAGGAGAGAAGGGGAGCATAATTGAGAGATACTACAAAGATGAAATCAACAGACCTTGGAAACAGATTGGATATGAGAGGTGATTGATAGTGGAAGAGTCAAGGATAACTCATAAGTTGCAAACCCAAGGGACTGTGAGGATGATGGTGTCTTCTATGGTAATAGGGAAGGTGGAGGCCAGAGAGATTTAAGGAGAAAGATAATAAATTCATTGTTGGATAGGTTGAGTTTAAGATATCTACTGGACATCCAGTTTGAGGTGTCTGAAAGGCAGTTGTAGATGTGAGACTGGAGATCAGAAGAAAATTGGGGGCAGTATAGGTAGATTTGAGAATCATCAGCATAGAGATGGTAATTAAATCCATGGGAACTAATGAGGTCATTAAATGAAGTAGTAGGAAAAAAGAAGAGGACCCAAGATAGAACCTTGTGGGACAAGGTTCCAATCCTCTACAATTAGAGAATGTGATCTGGATGAGAATGCAGCAAAGAAGCAGTCAGATGAGTAGGAACAGAACCAGCAGAGAGTGGTGTCCCCAAAACCTAGAGAGAAGAGGATATCAAGTTGGAGAGAGTGATCAACAGTGTCAGAGACTGCTGAGAGGTCCAGGAGAATGAGGATTGAGGAAAGGCCATTGGATTTGGCAACTGAGAGATCATTAGTCACTTTGGAGAAAGCCGTTTCAGTGGAATCGTAAGGTCAGAATCATAAAGGGTTGAGAAGAGAGTAAGAGAAGAGAAAGTGGAGGCACCTATTGTAGATGGCGTTTTTGAAGAGTTTAGCTACAAAGGGAAGAAGAGATATAGGACAATACCGTGGATGGCAGGTTCAAGCGAGAGTCTTGTCTGGGCTTGTTTCCTTATCTATAAAACAAGAGGCTTGGATCAAATCCCCTCAAACTTTCCTTCCAGTTTACTCAACTGTAAATGTGCTAAATGTAGTGATCCCAGGACACACACATATAGCGATGCCACACATTAGATTACAGTGCACAGGAGCCATCACAGAGAGATACTAGAGAGTGGAGGGTGCTCTGGGCAGGGTGGGGGTGGGGGGGACGACGACGACACTTTTTAGCCGAGGTCATCAGGCAGAGTTTCATGGACAAGGTGATACTTGTGCAGGACCTCAGAGAGTACAATCATGGAAGAAATAACCCTTTTCCCATTCTAGCTTGTTGTTAATTCCTGCATTTCAAGCCTTGTTATTCAACTGCCATTTCTATTACAGGCGTGTGCTATCATTCCCAGGCAGCAAACATTTTGAAAATCCCTGTGAAGCTTCTCAGCTCGGGAACATAATGTCATATTAGGATTTTTGTTGTGAAAGAAAATGTAACTGTGCATACGTTTATTAAAACAGTTTTTCTGCAAATATTTAACCGTCTGTAATTTTCAGGCGGATGCAACAGACATTAAAACAGCTGTTTGTCTTTGTTTCTCTTCACAGTGCTCCCATGCCCTACCTCATAGGAATACATTTAAGTCTAATGGAGGTAAGTTGGCTTGCTTTCTCCAGAAATTTTTTGCTCTGTGGTTTGGTTTCCTCCTGTTTCTGCATGGCATTAGAATAGACTGGGTATCTGTATTCACAACTTAACATATGGGAACTCGTACAAGCAACACCTCAAGCTCTGTCCCCCTCCCTTGCTGACAAAGCTGAGCATTCAGCTAAGATCCCTTCTCACTAGGTTATTGTTTTCAAGATCTTTCATTCAGATGGGAGCTGATGTTTTCTTGGGTGAGGCTCCAGGGGCAGGAGAGTAGAAAAGGTCTTAAGGGAAAGGAGGATTTTTTGAAAGGAATATTACAAGCCTGGGGCAAATAGTGGTCCACTTGCCTATACTAAAGAACCAGCTTGTATGTATTCCTGTTGTAGCCAAGTGCTTGACTTTGCAACTAAAAGCATATAGCCATTGACTTTGAGAGTTGGAAAGAACTTTAGAACTTAGGATGGTGAGAATGGGAGCTGTAAAGAACACTGACAGCAGCAGGGTAACTAAAAGCATTTCAAACTTGGGTTGAGAGGACTGGAGTTCTTGCCCAGTGTCAAATAAATGACCGAGTCAGGACTCAAACCCAATACCTGTCAATCTAGTGTGCTTTCTACCTCTTCATGTGGCCTCTCAGCTTCCACACTTGTATCATTGGGGCAGAGGCAGTGCATGCCTGTGGAGTTCTTTTTGCTGTATATAATCTCTGAGAGCAAAGTCCTGAGCTTGCCTTTTTTCACAGAGGAGATGAGCTCTCAAGGGAGGGGAGAATAGGAACTGCTTCTCCCAGTGGTAAAGCTTTTCTTGTCTTGAAGGAAATGTGGCCTCTTCTTTTCTGTTCAATTCACTGTAGGTCGACTGGGACCACCTGCTTCTTCACTATTTGTTGCACACAGTGCTATTGTGCTTACGAAACGAAAAGAGTTGGTTATCGGAAAACCTGTTGTTTGACATTGAGAATCTCAATCCAAATAGACCATTAAAAATCTGCTCCAATTTCCAAATTGACAGGCTGGCCATGTGGCTCCTGCATTCTGTTAACTCTGCCTTTCTGTCATCACCCAGCCCTGGGCACATAAAGTGTAGGGTTTTATGGATTGTCACAGATTATGTGTTCAGATTGTATTGTATTGAACTTTTTTTCTCTTTTCTGTCTTTTGTTTATAAGAGCTGAGGTGGAATCAAAGCTACAGTAGAAGAACACCGCTGAGAATTAGAATGAAAAAGAACATTAAAAATAAAAGAATTAAAGAGGCACCACCTATCATAAGATTTAGAGCCTGATGAGACCTTAGAGTTCATCTAATCCAACCCCTTTATTTTCTTTTCTTTTTTTTCCTTTTTTTTTTCCTTTTTAGGCAATTGGGGTTAAGTGACTTGCCCAGGGTCACACAGCTAGTAAGTGTCAAGTGTTTGGTCTGAGGCCGGATTTGAACTCAAGTCCTCTTGACTTCAGGGCCGGTTCTCTATCCACTGCACCATCTAGCTGTCCCCCAACCTCTTCATTTTCCAAACTCGAGCCCACCGATTGAAGTGACTTACCTATGGTTACACAGGCATTAAATAGCAGAAGTGCCAGTCAAACTGAGGTCCCTTGATTCTGAATCTAGTGTTCTTTCCACTACACATTGCTGAACCATGGAATCTTAGAGCTGAAAGTGTAACCCCCACCTGAGCAAGAATCCCCTCTTTAATTTCCCAGCATCTGGGCTTTGCTTAGAAGATATCCACTAATGGACAACTCATTGTAGCCAAAGGAGCCCATTCTGTTTGTGGGCTAATATAATTGTTCAATTATTAAGCTGAAATGTGCTTCCTTAAAACTTGCTATCATTGGGACCAAGAACAATTTTAATCTCTCTCCTGCTGGACAGCTCTTATGATAACCGAAGGCAAAAAACCTATCTCCTCCAAGTCTTTTAGACAGGCAGCATGGTGTAGTGGGAAAAGCTGAATCTGAACATCTATATTCCAACCCAAGCTTTGCCATTCATAAAATGTGTGTATTTGGATAAGTCATATGTCCTGTCTGTCTGGCTTAAGTTGACTCATTTGTAAAATGAGAGAGTTGGATTAGATGATCCTTGTGATCCCATTTACTTATGACATTCTGTGATTCTGTTTACAACCTTCAGCAATCTGGTTCCAGCCATCTCTTTAATTGTATCACCTACTATTCCCTTTAACACACTTGATGTTCCAGCTAAAAATCAACTCCTTGACGTCTTTTTTTTTCCTACCCACAAACTACCTGATATAATGCTTTTGTATATCTGGACTCTAACCCCACACTCCTCAATGCCCTTTTCCACATGTCACCTCCTGTGCATCCTCCAAAGCCCAGCTCAGATGCTGTGTTCTTTGGAGAACGTTCCCTAAAATCTCCAGTTGGAGTTGAACTCTCTGTCCCTGGAACCTTACACATTGTAGTTGTTATACATTTGTATCATGTTCTCTGTTGTATTAGCTAAGCTTCTTGAGGGCAAGGGACTATGCTTTTTTTTAATTTTTAATTTTGGTGCATCTGGCATCATCATTCATTGCACGTAATAGGTGTTTGGTAAATTGTTATTGAATGAATGAATGAAGGTCTTTGTTGCTATTCCTCAGAAAGCATAGGGAGAGAAGATACATTCCCTCTTACACTGTCATTCTCACTAGCAATTCAGCAAAGGATTTAAAAAGACTTATTTTTGACTGTCTTGTTAATTCTTCTCAAAAGCTATAGGCACCTTATTATGCCTTTGCATATGTGCCAGAATTTTTTAAACTTCAAATGAATGTGGCAGATGTTCGTAAAAGTTTAGAAAAAGCTAAACCATGAGGAGACTTTTTAACCATTTTTATGACTCTCAAAATTGTTGTTCAGGGTAAAATCTGAATTGTGATTTCTTATAACTTGAAAATGGATCATGGAGGAGGGGCTTTATTTATCACTAACCTGATAGATATTTTTAATATGAAATAATGTTACCCTAGGTAACAGCTAGGTGGTGTAGTGGATAGAGCAATGTACTTGGAATCAAGAAAATTTGAGTTCACATTCTGCGTCAGACACTTAATAGTTGTATGACCCTAAACAAATCACTTCACCTCTCTGTTTCAGTTTCCCCATCTATAAAATGAGGATAATAATAGCAACTACTCTCAGGGTTGTTATGAGGACCAAATGAGAAAAAATATGTAAAGTGCTTTCCAGACCTTAAATACTATAAAAATGTTAGGTATTTATTACTGTTATTACTACCTTAAAGAGTTAGTACTCCTTGTATGCCTCATTTTCAGCTCTGGGCTAAGTTACTAGAAGCAATTAGCCAGTCCTCTCTCTTTCCCATTGTCATAGAATGTCAGGCCTATAGAACATAGAATGTTAGAGCTAGACAGAATCTCAGAACAAAAGATACTGGAATATAGAATGTTCAAACTGGAAAGCACCTTGGAGATCATCTAGTACAAACCCTGTTCTACAATGTACCCTTCTAACAAATATCTTTCTCCCTTTCCCCTCCTCCCTTACTTGTGTTTATATAAGCATTCTCTCTCCCTCCCACTTCCCCCTAAGCCCTTCCCTCTTCCTTTACCCTCTCTTTCCCCCTCTTCCTTTACCCTCTCTTTCCCCCTCTTCCTCCCTCCTTTCCCTTTCTCATGCATATTCATACTTTCTTTAATTTTAAAATGTATTTTTGTCACATAATGTATAAGAACAGAGACTAATGCTGGATAATAGTAACTGTGTATAATGGGATTTCCTGGCACTTTTCTCTCTTGAATAAAAAGATATGTCATTATTGATTTCTATGAACAAAAATCCCAGACATGGCCATTGATGATTAAGGATCAGATCTCAAGACTATTGACTTTGTAGTCATCAGAAAGGTCTGTATTGTTGTCCTACCAGCCTGTAAACTCCTTGATGAAAAGTACTGTCTCTTACTCAAACTTTGTATTTCCCCCAGGGTCTAGTAAAGTGTTCCACATGTGTTAGGTACTCAAAATATGTTTGTTGAATTCAAATTTGAATTCCTTGAAAAAAAACATGGTCTTGACAATTATATTGTCTTTATATTGGCTCTGTCTCCAATAGATGACATTTCAACAAATGCACAAAAATCCTACAATGTCAAAAAATATGAAAATAATGTTACAAGAGCTAAATGGGTGCCTAAAAAGATTAAGCTTCTTATTAAGGAAATAATATGCTAGCATTCTTTATAAAAATCGGTGGTGTTCTGAAGTTATTTCTTAATGTTAACCTTTCTAGATAATCAATGGAAAGGGGAGTTGGGGAAGGGGAGGGGCACAGGAATCCCCTGAATTTTGAGTTGAGTCCTAGGGCCAGTCTTGTTTCTTCCACAAACACATTGCATGACTTTGAATCATTTCTGGGCCTCAATTTCTTCATCAGTAAAATGAGTGTGGCACAGAAGCCAAAAAAACCTAATTCAATCTGAGAGTGAATTAACAGAAGCAGTGAGCGGAGCAAGTAAGGGGATTGTCCTGCTGTGCTCTTCCCTGGGCACATCCTGTCTGGAGTGCTCTGTTCACTGATGAGTGCCTCATTTTAGAAAGAAGAAGCAGACCATGTTCAGAGGAAGGTGGCTGGGTGCCATCCTGAGATCATTTGAATGAACTAGCAATGTTTAGCCTTGGAGAAGAGAAGACTTAGAGGCTGGTTACATGTATTTGAAGAGCTATCATCTCAAAGATGGGTTTGCTTTGTTTTACTTATCCCCAGAAAGCAGAGCTAGGAACTGTGGGAGAATGTTGCAGGGGTAGATTAGATTTGATGTAAGGAAAAAACTTCCTAACCACAAGAGCAGTCGAAAAAGGAAGGAACTGCTTCAGGAGGTCATCAGATGAAGGTCTTCCAGTTGAGGCTGAATGACCAAAGAATTCCTATTCAAGTATGTATTGGACTAGGTAACCTTTGAAGTCTGTTCCAATTCTGATTGATTGAATTCTCTGACCTTTAAGGTCACTCTAACATTCTGTGCTTTGTGTTC